TTTATTAAATTCATATTTCATTAATCTTGTTGTCTTTATCTAACGACATATTCCCTGTCTTTGGTCATTGGAATCTATTACTTGTTCTCAGGTAACGTGTTTTGGCTGAGCGCAAAGATAAGTTAATGATTAATGTAACCACGTACATTCTGTATATTGACTGATCGCTTGCCTTTATTTCCTATAATGTATAAACTTATTGTATGTTATACATTTATAATGGCCATTATCGATTATTAAAACTGATATTCAGCAAAAGAGAGGGTATGTTTCGTATTTTCACTGAAATTGAAAGGAGGCAGTTGTTTTCGGCTCCGTTTTGTTATAAATATCCACACAGTGAAGATGACGCTCATGCAGCACGACGCCTCAACATTTCTGCTGTCTGTTTAGTTGTTAATATTAAAATAAAAATAGGCAGTTCCTTATATCAAGTTTACATTTTATTGTTGAGAAAAAGTTGATTGTAAGGGGGAAACACATCAAACTTAAGAAACATTTGAGGGCACAAAGAGTCAACTTAAAGGTAGAGGAATGCACTGTCTTTGACAGCATGCGACATCATCTGACACTTTAAGCGACAACGTTTACATGGAAATCAGTAATCGAAATAATCCGAACAAGACAATAATATGATTAAGGTGTTTTATGAATGTTCCTTTCATGATCCCGTTTTACATGTTATAGCATATAGACCGATTAACGTCATTGCGCTATTTAACATTTCCTTCAGTTTAATGTAATTCGTAGATACAAAAATTAAAAGTTGCTATACACAAGGTCCTGTTTACACCTGTGATTAAGAAGTGTTTTTATTGATACAATCACAAATGGATGATGCTTAATACAGTTGCACAACATTTGGCGATTGTCCAATTTTGACCACATTCAAGTCTTGTCAAGTGCATTTACTATTTGAACGCAAATAAATGCAGTCATAATCACAATTAGTAAACAATTCTCTTTAAGCCATAAGTTTCCAAGATTGAGGCTTGCCCGTGAGAAATGATTAGATACAATGGATGAATCAATCTGACAATAAATATGGTCAAAAATTGTTTTTTGGTTATTTTTCAATAAAAAATTTGTATTTAGAAAAAATTATGTTTTGTCATTACATTTAAAGCACCTTTACAATAAACTGATTCAGCATGGTTAGAAATTGTGTTGAATTCTATTTACCAAAGATACATCACCGTCTTGCATTTGAATAAAGCAACTTTAACACCCCTATCATATTTTACCACATCATACTTGCATACTTGGTAACTCATAAATATGACCTTCAGAAGAGAACGTCAAAGTTTTACGAGCAATATTATGTAAAAAGTTGCAGAAGTGGATTAGCCAGACAATATTAAAACTTCACTGTTTGAATTCGCAAGTTGGTATGAAAGTGAAAAACCCACAGCATTCAATGTAGTTTAATAGCGATTACCGGAAACAGAAACAAAAGCTACTGCTCTCTGTATTATTTTCTCCATTTGCCTTGATATTAAAAGTCTATATTCATGCCCCACTGGTCTTCCCCTAAAATAAATCAGAAAACTGGTTAAAAGCTGACAATAGAAACAGTCAAGTGTAAAATATTACATGTCTCGTTATCTGAACTTCATCAAGCTCCAATCAACCAAACACATCTTAGTACCAGGTGAAAACAAAGCCTAAAATATACTAAATGCATCTGAGTAAAACTTCAAGGAAACCAAAGCATTTAATGCCAGAGTGAAATCAACTCCCACAAGATAAAATGTGAAAAATGCTTCATATTTAAAGAGTGTGAAGAATCAGTAGTATTTATGAACACAATTAAATTCTACTTCAAGTTTTAAATGTTAAAACTGTATAATATCCACTTGACCCGAGGGGATCACAGTCATGTGAATTCAAACAATCATCAGGAAGCAAGATCCATTTTGTACTGATATCTTTCCAAGAAGATTGCGTACCATGGAAATCTGGGGGAAGTGCAGGATTTGGCTTTGATTTAAAGCATTTGGGTCGTCGATACAACATTTGCTCTTGCTATCTAAAATAATGTTTGCAGACCTAATCTGCCACAGACTTAACTCGTCACTGCACGCCATTGACAAGACAAAGAAATAAAGAGAGTGATTTTAAAATTGCCTACAACCATATCCAGAAGTTGGTGATATCAGTGGACTATCATTGCTAGCAGATCTGCGTAACGAGGCATAACAGTAGCAAACATCACCCTGAAATTAATATGATAATCTGTTTTTGTTCTTTTAGCATGTAAGTTACGCCGTTTCATTTCCTACAGACAAAAGGCCAATGTTGACAAACAAACACCGCCATCACTTATCTACTTAAGATCAGAAACTGGATTTAAAGCTTTAATTGGAATTTCCTTCCCAATTTTAATGATCCCCCGAAGCACAGAAGCAGTTCTGTTCTGATTAAAAGCTTGCATACAAGCAGTTAAATGACCTTCTTCCACCCTTCCCCCAAAGCTAGTTCAGGCCTGTGGAGTAAGCGGGGTCTGAAATCTTTTCCTACCCCCCAACCACATCTTGGCCTCCAGGGATTAAGTAACATGGACAGTTAAACAGCCCTAAATCTCCCTCTATTCATAGGCTGTGATGGAAGCAATGATTAATAAAATCATAGTAATTTAATAATCTTAGCATAATTCAGTTAATATTGCTTAAAGGTGCTGTATGCGAGTTTTTAATTCTATTAAAGCAGTGGTTCTCAAACATTTTTCATCAAGTACCACCTCAGAAAAAAATAGTCTCTCCAAGTACCACCAAAATGAGCAGTATTGAAATACAGTAGTGTAGTAGGCCCAATAAAGCAGCTACAACTCTGCACAGTTAAAAAAAATGTGGCAATTACCTCAAAAATATAGGCTATGTGTCATATATGGCATATTATATCCATCATTTTTATACATTTTTAAATGTGTGTAGCCTGTACATGGCATATTTCATTCCTCCGTGTACCACTAAAGGAAGCCTGCGTACCACAGTTTGAGAACCACTGTATTAAAGCATAAACATAGCATAATATGTTTTAGGGCTGTGCAATTAATCGAAAATCAGATTTTGATTTTGGCTCGATTATGAAAAACCATTAATCAAGATAAACAATTATTCCATTATTTACCGCCCCCTTTCCAGTTGTACTCACTTGTTGCTCCTAAAAGTGCGAAAGACAGCATGCTTATGTGTATGTGTGTGTGTGTGGCGCGCAGACACAGTCAGAAGCATTGCTAGCAGATCTACGTAACTTGCACTTGGTCTCATTCTACGTAACAGCACTTGGTCTCATTCGCACACTGTGACGAGCAGAAGTCATCTTAACGTGAGCGCTTAAAGATCAAATAGGTGTCAAAACACAGTGTTTATTGATTATTCATAATTACCCTCATTTTGTAATAAACAAACGAGTTGAGAATCAAAAGACATGTGAAAGCGAAACCATTAAAGTAACAGCGCGCAATTCCTACTGCCGCCTGTTTTTATCATTATTATTAAAACGAGAAAATCCCTCTCTGCTCTTGACTGAAGACTTTTGTAGCTAAAGTGTTTTTCTTACAGTGAAGATGCTTAAAGCACAGTTTGTTTCATATTTTTATTCTATTGTATCTATTTCTCTTTCCTTTGCAGAGAGAAAAATAACTGTATGTATGCAGTTGAAGTCAGAATTATTAGCCCTCCTGAATATTAGCAACCCTTTTCCTCCCCAATTTCTGTTTAATAAAAATAATTTTTTTTTCAATATATTTCTAAACATAATAGTTTTAATCACTCATTTCTAATAACTGATTTATTTTATCTTTGCTATGATGAAAGTATAATAATATTAGACACAATATTTTTTTTTAAATACAAACAATCAAATTCTAAGTGCGATTCAAAGGCTTTATTAGGGTAATTAGGCAAGTCATTATATAACAGTAATTTCTTCTGCAGACAATCAAAAATATATATTGCTTAAAGGGAATAATAATATTGAGCTATAGGTTTCAAAATATTTAAACCTGCTTTTATTCTAGCCAAAATAAAACAAATAAGACTTTTTTCAGAAGAAAAAAAATATTATAGGAAATACTGTAAAAAAATTCCTCTGTTAAACATCATTTGTGAAATAATTATAAATGAAAAAAAATTCACAGAAGGGTGAATAATTTTGACTTTGACTGATAATCGTGATTACAATTATGACCAAAATAATTGTGATTATGATTTTTCCCATAATCGAGCAGCCCTAATGCATAATAGCTTCGAAGAGAGTTTTTACATGTTACAGTGTTCAGATGGCAGAGAGATGTCATGTCGTGTTGCCAACCGTAATTAAAACAAGTGCAAAAAGATGCCTTGTTCGGAGACATGCATGGGTCGTCAGTGTTGTGTTTACAAATGTGCCACAATGAAGATTTTGTTTCTAGTTCCCTGAAATGAGAGAGGAGCCACATTTGTGGATTACAGTCGTCTGCTAACATGCGACAAAAATACGTTTGTAAGGAACATTTTTTACCCAAGAGCTTTTCGCATCTGTAAATGGTGAAATCCAGATTTGCTACTCGTCTCCTTTTAAAGAAAGACGCGGTTCCAGTTGGTGTTGATTGTCCTGTCTCTATGGATTTAGTGTACCCTCAAAGTCTTTGTTAATATTTATTCAGATGGCAAAGTTAGTTAGTATCGTCAGCCATACCTTAGTCAAAATGATTTAGTTACTAAGTTTACGGTATTTTGATATCACTACAGTAATATGGGCTAAAAGATCCACTGTAAATGCAACTCTCTGAATGTAAACATGTAAGCACCTTAATCAAACTATTACCATAGTGTAGGATTTTTTCCGTGTTTGATTTTCACCACTTTTTGTGACTGAATAGTCTATACACGCACACAACACTGTTTCACACTAGGCATGGGACAAAAAGGTATACCGCAGTTTGGAAAAGTCAAGGGTTTTAAAACTGCCAAAATGTTCTGTAATACCGTTCCTAAGGTGTGTATAAGATTTTTTAATTTTTTATATTTGTTTTTTAGAACAACAGTATTTCCAGCCATTTTTAAATTGTATAGAAATCTGTGTTGCTGATACAAATGAAGACAGCAAAAGTCAATCATTCATTTGAATTATTTAGCCTGACATGTTTACTGCTCCAAAATATTATAAATCTTTCAAAAAATAAAATATATTGTTTTCAAAGAGGAAAAAAGTGTTTTTTACACAGATTTTTTAAAGAATATATTTTAGAGCAAAGAGCACAATACCGTTAAACCATGATATTTTTATCCAAGGTTATCATACCGTCAAAATCTTATACCGGCCCATGCCTATTTCATGCTGTTCTCTGCACCTACCGAGAAATGCTGTGGGTTTTTTTTCTCCCATACGGCACGTGGTATCAAATTGCATTAAAACTACACTCTTTCAGCAGTTCCTTGAATCCAATATCTCGTTTGTCACAGGGGGCAAGCATGAAATGTTCCTGAATAAAAGTGAAAGTGCCAAACTGCAGTTAAAGTTGTCAAAGTAACAATGAAAAATCCGAAATTACATAAAACACTGGAGAAAATGTGGATAGCGTAGTGATGTGATGATGTTAATCGTATTATGTGCTGTCACATGTAAAATGGGATTATGAAAGGAACATTCAAAAAGCAAAAGTAAACACCTTAATCATCTTGATGAAGGCTTATTCAGATTAAGGCAAATCATTTTATTACTGATGTCCACTGCCTATCTATTCTGTCTATTCCATTACTGATGTCCACTGATGTCACTGTATATCTCCCCTGCGCCTGTGTTTGTGTTGCTGCAGAGAAAAATCAGCTGTTGTGCGCATACTGAAACTCCCCCTTTCATGCAAACTCTTCCCTCTTTCGTCAATCAATACTCCCATCTAAACAAAGCAGGACTCACCCACTTTCCTAAATTTTTTCAAACTAGAGGTGTGAAAACACCCTGCTGAGACAGGGGGGTTTCATGGCCCTTTAAGAAACATGTGAACATAGCTGTTTATTGTAAAAAGATAATGCTCAGCTATTCTTCTTTGAAAATGTGCGTTTCGTGTCGGAATGTCTGTCTTTGGCAGTTAGGCGGAATTACAAAGAACAGTTCACCCAATTATATTTTGGCACCCCATGTTGCCTTGGTGGAAAACCCAGCGCATATCATTTCAGTTTTGAAGGCTGCCTCAATGTATGTAGGTACGGTTAAAAATGCAAACTCTGGAAAACAGTAGCAGTCTCCGAAATGATGCTGATTCAGTGATGTAAAAATACATCTCCACATGAGTTTTTTTTAATTAGCAAATGCTATCATGCTTTTACGAGTCTTTAAATCTCGATTTTGCCTCACATATTTGTTCCAACCTCTTTCACACATCCAATCCTTCCTCTACAATCCAATCAATACAAGTGGCAATCACAAAAAGCACACACAAGGCCAAAGACAGGATGCAAAGAAAACATTACCACAGAGGAAACAACTCACTTGCATTCAGATGTTTAGGTCGTTAATATTGACCCATGTTATCAATACTCCAATAACGCAATTTACATTAGCTGCTAAATGGTTTAAATATACCATCCATGCTTACCTTTTCATTTTTCACCTTCTTCAAAGCTCTGCATTCCCCGTCAAGCTCCTCTGGCTCCGATTTAATAGACGGAGAGACAATTCCAACAGTTTCCAGAGTGTTATTCCCAAGTTGCTCTGTCACAGCCATGTCTGCGTTCTGTGTATTGTCAAAGGCTGTGTTGCGTGTGCTTCCAAATGCTTGAGCACTTGTCACTATATCCTTTTCAATTGCCACAACTGCGACTGGTCCACTTTCATTTTTGTCTTTCTTGTTTTTCCCACTCGATACGTCCTTCTCCTTTTTGCTGTTCGGCACACCACGTGAGGCCTTGGCACCCTTCTCGATGCCTTTGCCAGGAGCGGAGTTCCCGCCTCCTGAACTACCTGTTGCACCAGTAACCTCCCCTTGGGTCCGTCCCTGATGGTCCTTTTTTGCTCCATCTGCAGCTTGAGACTTGCTGCTATTGTCTTTAGAATTTTTGTTGCGTTTAGATTTAGATTTGCTCTCTTTGCCCTGAGGGGCACTCACAGGACTAACGAACTTGATATTGTCAGGCAGAGCCGCTACTGCGCTAGGAGGAGCTGCCATTCCCCCTCCGTCCTTAGTGCCAGACATCTCGAGTTTGTCCTTCTCTAGGTCAGCGTCAAGGTCGATAATCAGATTTCCAACCCCGATATCCCACTCATCACCGCTGTCGTAAGTGTCCACCGCATTCGAGTCCACACCTTTCCCGCCTGCAGTGCCACTACTTAGGGACATTTTAGTGCCAGCGGCCCAGGTTTGTTACAGTAAAGTCTGATTTCTCAGACTGCCAGGGTGCGGGGAGAACAATATCCTCAACGTATTGATGTCAACTTCCCAGTCACCCACATTTTGCCCTAGAGGAGAGACAAACAAAAAAGAATTATCCGTCTTATAATTGTATTCTGAAAATGCAACAGTAAGGAAATGAATATGTGGCACTAAATATGAACATTTCATTGAATCTTCATCAAATATAGACAATGAATCTTTTCATGTTACTTTGATAATAATGGAAAGCTAAAAATTCAAAAACACTTGGGTTTACAGTGCTGTTATGCCATGTTACTTGGAGCAATAAGAATACTGTACCCTTCTAGGGTTGTCACGATACTGGAATTCGGTACCCATCGATACTGAAGTTTTAATAGCACAACCATTTGTGCGCTATGGAGCATGTTCTTAAACAGCACTGATTTGCCATGGTGTTCACTTGCTCAACAGAAATGACTGTGATTGGCCGTGAATGTAATCATTTCAGCTAAGTCACCGCTGTTTACTGAATGTAACCACAGATTCAGGGACACTGGAGCATCTTAAAGTCAAGTCAATCACCTGGTTTGTCTATAAGCGGATATACATGCAATCCCCTGATGAATCGCGGCTTTAAAATGCTAAAGTTGTGAGTTTAGTGAAATGATAACCTTCACAGCCAAATCACAGTCATTTCTGTTGACCAGGTAAACACAATGGCAAAACATCGCTGTTTAAGAACACGCTCAAATTTTCGCGGAAAATAACAGTATAATTTATAAAATAAAAATAAAAAAAACAGTTAATTTCAGTATCGTGACAACCCTAGTAGCTACCAAATTATACTAAATGTTTACACAGATGTTTCTTGAATTCTTGACTCCAGTTAAATAAATATTAGAACACACGTGATACAATTTTCCAACAATTTGCAATCTAAACCACTATTACTTTAAAAACTCAATAGAAAGCCATTATTCCCTGCATTCTGTATAGCACATCTCATTACACTCATTAACACTCGATTAAAATTTTGCCACAAACCTAAGTTCTTTCCTTCATGTGCAATGCTACATTGTTATTATAGTAAAGTCTGAGAAATAACAAGGTACTAATATAAGCCTAACCCTGTTTTTTTTTTCTTCATCTTTTTATGCACACGCAAACACATACACGCACAAAGTATACTCTGTTTCATAGCATGCATAAACACAGGCACTTGACACAAGAATACAAAAATGTCTTTGTACTCATTTCTCTTTCAGTCTCCTCACTAAGCACATGTCAAATTGGGTCTCTATTAGGAATGCACTGAATTTTTGGCTGCCGAAAATGATTACCAGCACACTGAACACTGCGGCGCAATTTTTTTTTCCTTTTGGCTCACAATTTTGTCAGTTTTTCTATTTTTCATTGTCAAGACAAAATACAAGCTAGAATAATAAAATTTAAAAAAACAAAACAAAAAAGAAACATTATTTTCTGCTGTGGCCAGCAGTGTTCAGTCCACCAATCCCTCCAGCTGTGGTACCTTATGGTATGAAGAAGCTTTCACACCAGACATGGAAAACGCTGTGCTATGAAACCCATTCATTTCATTGAGTCATGCAAAGGCTAAGCTGTCAAAGTTGAAAGTAGTTCAATATTCTTTTCTGTGGATATTCCATTCCTGAACCCATACACTTCTATGCATGAACCGCACATGCTCACTGGAAAAGTCCAGTCAAATAAAGTGCTGACAGGACATTTCTATGTAGTTCTTGCTCTTGCTGCTACTGTGCTGTTATGGCAACACTAGTAAAATGACACCTCTACAGGTTTTTACGGTCAATAAAATGTGGTTATGGAGTTTAATTTAAAAGGTCCTACAAAATTAAATTACTTGAAAAAATAATAAATAATTATTATTACAAAGTGGTTCTGTGAGTATCCAGAATTTAGATTTTTGTCCAAGAATATTCAATTCGGTGAATCCCTTCATCCCAATTTGGTGCATCGGTTTTGGTATCATAATTAGCTTGTTTAATATTCTTAATTAGAAAATATATGAAATAATTTCTGTCCCTGTTGCATTTGATGATTCAGCTATGATAAAAAAGCTATATAATAGGGTATATAAGCTATATAATAGCTCTACTTTGTAAAATTCTAAAACATTAAAATGATGATGGCTTGATTACAATGATGATGATTTTTTTCACACAACCAAAATGCATGTCAAACTACATAAAAAATTAATAAGTATAAAGATTGCATATGATACACTGCACAGTGAAATATCAATCAATACTTGAACATTAATATTGTACATTAAAATATCCCTCTTGAGCCAGCTCTAAAATCTGACAACAGAAAGGGATGCCCATAATAAATCATTTTATATGATATATGTTGTCTACTTTCTTGTACTGATTGTCATAAAGTCTTGTAATGATTATGATTGTCAAAGTCATTTGGAATGCCAAAGAAAGTGTTCTTGCAGGACTCCCACAGTTCATCAAGATTCTTTGGATTCATCTTCAATGCCTCCTCCTTCTTCTTATCCCAGACATGCTCAATAATGTTCTTGCTGGTGACTGGGCTGGCCAATCCTGGAGCACCTTGACCTTCTTTGCTTTAAGGAATTTTGATGTGGAGGCTGAAGTATGAGAAGGAGCGCTATCCTGCTGAAGAATTTGCCCTCTCCTGTGGTTTGTAATGTAATAAGCAGAACAAATGTATTGAGACCTCAGGCTGTTGATGCTGCAGATCTCTGGCACGCTCCATACTGAATGTAACCCCAAACCATGATTTTTCCTTCAGCAAACTTGACTGACTTCTTTGAGAATCTTGGAACCATGTGGGCTCCAATAGGTCTTCTGCAGTATTTGTGATGATTGGGATGCAGTTCAACAAATGATTTAGTGGACAACAGAGATTGATAACAAGACATTTGTTGGGTAGTGTAGATGACACCCAGTGAAAAACCTGTCATCACTTGAAAACTATTCTACTCATTAAAAAGATTTTATTGTGTTGAACACTAAATAAGATATTTTGAATATAGCTGAAAACCTGTAACCATTAGCTATGTTTCCATCCAAAAATGCGAATAAACTTTATGCGCAAAACTTGATTATCGCATAAAAGTTGTGCGAATGAAGCATCGTTTCCATCCAACGAGTCAAAGCGAACAAAATCGTCACTTCCTGATTAACTGGCGCCAAATATCAACAGTAAAAACTTCATTTGCTGCAGTAGAAGAAGCTGCATCAATCTTTTCTAGATGAATGCATCTCAGACGACAATCCTGACAAGGAGTGAGCGCTCAGTGGCGTTTGAAGGTGTCAGACGCGGAGCACAGCCGCTCTTGATTCTGGAGGTCATTAATAATATAATAACATTAATACTGGAATGGTAAGACATTTATAATGACCAAAACAACATTTCAGATGTTTTATAATGTGCTCAGCCTGACGTTTTGTCCATTCACACACATTTTAAGCATCACATGATCTCTTTTAACAAAATCACATGACCTTTTTTAATGCGCATGCTGGAGTTTGTGCGGTAAAAGTGTTTCCATCGCAGTTTATGTGCATCTTTTCTTATCGAATAAAAAGTTTATCCTACCCAGTTAGGCGCATACGTTTTTCATGAACATTTTCAAAATTTATGCGCATCATGGCGTTTCCATCAACTTTTTTATGCGCATTTGCAAAATGCGCATAAAATAGGTGGATGGAAACATAGCTATTGACTCGCACAGTAGAAAAAACAAATATTATGGAAGTCAAAAGTCAATACTCTTTTTTTGTTTTCAAACAAAACAATCTCACAGCAATTTGTAGCTTTTTGATTTAGCGGCTAATTTGTATTTGTACAATCTCAACCATGCGTTTTAGTATGATCTGTTTATTCCCCAATGAGGGTTACTACTAAAGGTGGGGCTCGGGGCATTTTTAAACAACTGAAATCACATGAATTTGAAATCAACCAACCACTTTTCTGACAAATAGTTATGTTTCCTCGAGATCGGACAAGTTTAACAGAGGAAAAAAACTCAAACAGGTTTAAAACCAGCAAAGAGTGAATAAATTAAAATGATTCAGTTTTACATGTATTATCCCTTTAACCAATGTCTATATGTTACTAAAAACACAAATCTTCGACTTTGCACAAAGAGCAAGGCTCAGATAGCAACGATAACATTTATACACAGACCTATTCACACCTAAACAGAAACTGATCTGTAAAATTGTGTAAATTTTGACCTATATGTTGTTTAGGAGCATGTGTCTATTGGCATTGGGCTTCTTTCAAAGCCTGATGTCTAATTAAGGCAGCCATTCTTTTCCATGGGTCATCTCTGCTTAGTGAAAGGAGGGCCAAATAAGCCAACACAAGTCAAAGGAGCATGCACTTTGACCTCTGATGGCGTAAATAATTAACACTCAAGTCTGCAGCATTTGTCCTGCAGTGCTGGGGGACTCGGAGCTGAAAACAAGGGCTAGAAAACGACTTAAATGACCCTCAGTTTTCAATAATAAAAAGAAACTGCTCAGCACAGCTCTATGAGCATCTGATTAACTCATGTTAGTCTATCCATGCTTCACCAAGCTTAACTGCAGATCAGTTCAGCGAGCGAAACGCTTTCCTCAATAAGCTGGAGCTTATATCAGCCTTTCATTTAGTTTCATATAGGTTTTCACAAGTCTATTATCACCATGAAAGCCAAAGAGTGACATTATATGTGAGAAATAATATTACAGACTCTGTTATTCTATAATTAAGCATCTTGTTGTATTAGACTGTGCTTCTAGTGTGCGTTTTATTATTAGGGATAAGCAGAGCAATTATGAAATACTTTAAATAATGTTTCATTCCAAGGGCCACTACTTAAATAAAATATATAACCTGACAAACGTCTTATGGCCTATTAACGTTTTAGGAACAACAAATAATAACTTGACTTCTAGTTGATCATTTGGCATAATAAGTGGCTAATATGAAAGGCAAAGTCCTCTAGATTACGCTTACTTTAGCAAAATAAAATATAATCATGCCTTGATTTTTAATTATTTAATTAAGACAGTAAGGTCTGACTTTAAAAGTCTTGTCACTT